ACTTTATAGAAACAACATTATGTTAATAAATTTAAATAATAAGTTTGTTTAAATATTAAGTTAAAATATAAAATTTAAAAATTAACGATATTTTGCCTATACGAGCCTAAGCTGAAAATTCTTTATTTTTTCTGAGAATTCTTTATTTTTTCACGCCCCGATAACGACGTAAGCAAAATATCACGAATTTTTGAATTATTTAGGGCTATAGTATACTTTTCTATAAAGTTTAAGTATTATTTATTAAGTCAGTTATAGTCATTAGGTTAGTTAGTCACGAAGTTAGTTTCATGTATCGATATGTAAAAAAAGAACCATCGAATGTGCCTGAGCGCGCGAATTTCAGTCGCTAATATTGGTTATCTTAAATCGTTTATAATTTGAAAAGTATTATAGCCTCGACATTTTTGTATTAGGATTTTCGTCTCAAAATTATCTCAGAAACATATTCTTAAAAGGAAATCCGGTAGAGGTGGGACACCCTGTATATGTATATGGGCTATTCCACGTGAAGCGGATCAGTCATCTCTCAGAAATTTTTTAAATTTTGCACAAAGATAGTACTTTGGAAGATAGAATTTTGTGCCAAAGGATTTTTTTCTTATTGCAAAATTAATTGAGATATAAACAATTAAATATTAGACTACTTTATTTTTCAAAAATTCATAGCTCTGTTACTAATAATGCTAGCTAACTGTCTTTTTTTTTTAAATACGCAAAAAATATTCTAGTTTACGGGAAAAAAATGAAGATTCCAAAAATTTTGTTTTCCATTGTTTATTTAACAATAAACTTTTCAACAATTTTTTTAACAATCGGGGAGAGAATCGAAAAATCTGAAAAAATATTTTTTATATACTTTCAGTTTTCTTACATCTTAAAAAAAAACTCAAGAACATGTTTTGCCTCGTTTTCGAAAAAAAAATTTTTTTAGTTCTTGATGTGGGGAAAATCTGTCGACTCTCAGCGTGCGACTTTTACAAAACAGTCAAACTTACAAAATATCCCTACCATACTGCTAGTATGTTGTTCGCGGCCGCTCTTATGTATTGACTGGAAAGTTAAAACTTTATAAAATCGACTTTACAATATTTAACTCTCCAAACAATTTTATCATTTATTCCGACGATTTCGACTTCTCAATTGCATTTTTTTCATTACAGTCTGCTGTACAGTAAGTACCTGATCTTTTGTTATAATTATTATCAAGTCTTTTGTTGTATTATAATATAATTATAATACAACAAAATATAATTACATAATATAATTATAATGCAACAAAATACTTGATAATAATTATAGCGCAAGATTAGATATCTACTGTACAGCAGACTCTAATAAAAAAAAACGCAAGCGAGAAGTCGACATCGTCGAAATAAATGATAAAATTTTTTAGAGAGTTAAATATTGTAAAGTCGATTATCGTTATATAGTAAGTATCTAATCTTGCGTTATAATTTATATTATTAAGTATTTTGTTGTATTATAATATAATTATAATACAACAAAATATAATTACAGAATATAATTATAATGCAACAAAATACTTGATAATAATTATAGCGCAAGATTAGGTATTTACTGTACAGCAGACTGTAATAAAAAAAACGCAAGTCGATTTTATAAAGTATTGACTGTCTAGTCAATACAAAACAGCGGCTGCGAACAACATACTAGCAGTATGGTAGAGATATTTTGTAAGTTTTGCTGTTTTTATAAGAGTCGCACGCTGAGAG